GAGATTAACTGAAATAATCGAAAAAAGTATGTTTGCAAATAAAATATCCATATTTCCATTCCAAAGATACCATCCAACTCAAATAGAACATATTCAGATGAGGTAACCGGTTTACTGCAAACTAGTGAAACACTGCATTAAAATGACGAGCTGCAACTCAAACTACATGTTAGATGGAAACATTGTGAGATATAACATCAGAATTGCAAACAAAAGTCAGAATTGTGTAATTAATTAAATTATTATTGGTGTTGGAAACAAGCTTTAATAGTTTGCCGCTTTAGGGCCTTGTGGCATTTTTTTTTTTCTCTCTCAGATGTTCCCAACATCATGCACTGAATTAGAGAAGCACTAGCAGGCGCCGTTGACCAACATATGAACATCATCTCTAATTCTGTCTCTTATGAGTTGATCAGACTGACATTATACATACTGAAGGTGTATTTCTACAGGAGAAGCTCATCTCAACACAAGCGTGTGTATCTACTGTCCGTACTCACTGAATTCCTGTGCTTTGAGCTCCAACTAATCTGAGATGAGACTGAATATGATCTCACACACGATCTGAGAGGAATGTGCTGTCGAGGAGAGAGAACGATAGCGAGACAAAGACACACAGGGGAGTTTTTTTTAATATGCCAACTCATGAATGCTGTGAGAGAGAGTGAATGTGTTCGTGAACGAGCCTCAGGCACCTCATTTTTAACATCGCTGTAGTATTAGATCAGCCAATGAAATCTCAGCCAGGTCCTGAAACTCCTGCAACATCCTTTCAGCAGTTAAAGATGATATTGAACAACTCTGTACAAATTCACGCAGATCACGTCTCAGACTGTTAATTATCTACTTTCTTTAACCGCCTGGAAAGAAAACATGTAATTCATCAGCTCTAGAAACATGAACAAACTGTAAAAATGATTTTTCAAAGGGGTAAAACATTTTGGACAATGTTTTAAAATAAATTTACAATTTCAGTTTTTCTACTTCAAAATGTCATGTTTAATGTAACTTGCCATTTTCTTGTGACATTTACTAGCAAATGAAAGTAAAAAAAAATTGAGTAATTTTTTCCAGTGAGTCTTGACAGAACCAAACTTCCATA